AATAATAATTATATAAAATTATAGAATTAATAAAATTTAAATTATTAGTATTTTTTAAATCATGAAGCTAAAATTTGATAATATTAATAAATTAAAATAAAAAAAATAAAAAAATTTATATATATATATATCACTTTAATTATTTTAATTAAAAATTATTTCATAAAAAAACTAATATTTGAAAATAAAAATGTAAAAGTATATATTTTTTCTTTTATTCAATTATATTTTTTATTTTTTACTTTTATGGTTTTAGTCCATAACAACAACTTAGTTGCCCTAATTTTAGTTTAACCTAAAAATCTCATCGTCTTATACCAAAAGAATATATAATTTCTCTTATTAACAAAGTTTTTTTTATCAGATTAAGAAAATTATCACTAATAACATTCAAAATCAGTACCTTATAGTTAGATACTAATACTCCAACCACTAAACTCGTTAGAATTTTCTAATAAAAATTTACAAATAAATTATATTTATATACAAATAAATGTATATCCGTGTAAATATATAAATATAAAATATATAAATACAAATATATTTATATATTTTGATATATTTATATGTTCGATGTCAAGGTCACGCTAGAGGGTGAAAGTGTGTGTCGAGTGAGTTTTCAGAATTTGACATCAGTTACCTCCTTTACATCAAATTTGTATCCCTCTAATGCCCTTAATTTCTCTTCTAGGGCAGAAATTCGTTGCTTGGAAACCTCATTGTGGAGGTATTGTTGGCGTATTAGTTCCATTAAATACGCTATCTGCTCTTTTACGTAGTTAAGCTCAATGGTGAGCATACGGTTCTGCTCCTCTAATTGCTCCATCTTCTTGGCTTTTTGAGCGCGAGTGAGAACATGTAGAAGACCAGCCACTTTCTAAATGATTTAAAGATTTTTATTATTGTTTTTTATTTTAAATGATTAGTGTGAAATAGATATGTCTTAGACAATAGCTTTGGTATCTTCTCAAAAGCCTATGCTTTAAGGAGTACCATACCCACCTCGATGTGCTAACTTCCTTTTTCAAAGGTTGCCAACATACCTTAGCGCACTTACCTCTTCTAGGAAGGTTATAAACGCACTTGGGTCTCTTTTGCCATTATCTAAGGATATCTAATGCATCCTAGAATGAATGTGTTTATGCATGCACTACAAAATATTTTTTTATGACATCAGATATTGAAAGTGGAATAACTTTTGACTGGGTTGTCCGATTTGGACGCACAGCATGTCAAAACAAAGAGAAAAGGGTGAAGAACCAAGCTGCAAATACCTATAAGGGATTTGGCCCAGTAATTTTCCCAATAAACGCTCCTAAGACCCATTTTTTGGAGGTTTATTAAACTCATGTGCATGCATATTTTTCTTAGTGCATTTATTTTCTCTCTTAATTTTACCACTTATTGGATGATGTGGTATGAATGATATGACTTTGCCAAAAATCTTTTTATTATAAAAAGGAATTTTTATGGCTTTAATTTGTTTTTATATTTTTTATGACCCTTTATCTCTTCTGTCGGTCAACGTGGCTACTTAGCTTACAAAGAACCTGAAACCAGGCTAGCTTAACTGAAGACTGTCCGAGATAAGGTTGGCTTATCTTATCACTTTTATGATTTTTATGGTTTTTCACTATTTTTGTTGTATGATTACCCTATGCTAATGCATCAATACAAATGCAGCAAACGAATGCACACACAATTCATACATCCACGAGCAGAGTCACGCTTATTACGAGGTGGGGTTTTCCTGCAGAAACGTGCTTGGTTTAGGTGGTTCTAAACTGTTCTCACCAAGGCCAAAGGTCCCCAAGGTGCCCCCATTATAGGGACCTCTCAATCTCTCAGTCCTCGGGTCATGCACGGAACTCCATGTCGACATCCTTAGACTAAAAGAAGAGAGTTATCACCTTGAGTTGGTGGTTTCCGACAACGGTTGTAGCCCCCTGTGCTAACAAGCCGGTCGTATCTGCCACCCACTCCCTATAGGTATTCACTCTTGCCCCCGGGTATAGAGGGACTGTTGTGTGCAAAAGTTTTTGTGTGCAATTTATATTTCAGACAATTTGCAGAAAATAATCATACAGCAGTTATTAAAGCCATACAATAAAACATACGGAAGAGGGTAAAGGCGTAATTTCAAATCTTTACTTAGTTTGAATTTATCCGTCACTAAATGGGATCAACTCTCTAGCTTCCCCAGCGGAGTCACCATCTGTCGCCGCCGTCTGTTCCGACGTCCAGGGACATCTCGAACGTTTATGCGAGCGGTCGCGAAAAGATGGTTTACACTCGCGTTTTTTGTTTAAAGTGTGTTCATTGCTTCCGAGGTGCTCAACAACTGAACTATCCTCTAATAAAAGCAAGGTTTTCGAAAAGGGTTCTTTTGGAGTCGCCACCAATGTTTTGACCATAAACATTGGAAAAGGATAAAAAGGCGTTGATTTTATTAAAAACCAAACTTGGCCATTATAACCAGAGTTAGGTAAGGGAGTTAGTTACGTGTGGGGAAGGTGTTAGCACCCCACAATGCCCCTTTCGGGTTCCCTATGACGGATTAATTCATTTAAGTAAAGATTATGAGAAATTACGCGATTACCCTATTTTATTGCATAATGTTAAAAATGGCTATCTACATGACTTTGTTTTACATTGCATACAGAAAGCAATAAATAAAGCAGTAAAGGGGAAGAGAATTGAACAGAACCTCCGTAGCAAGCTTTATATTGCAAATCTTTGATCGCAAGGATGCGTTTTGACAATCCTTCACTCTACAAAGACTCTCCTCTCCAAATACAAGATCGACTCGACTCGATTTTACAGAAGAATCGAATGCTGGAATATGATTCCTTAACTGATTGTTACCTTCTCAAGGCAATCAGAGAGTTCATTCGAAGAGGGAAGAGGATAGACAAGTATTGGGAGTTGTCTGGTGTGTCTGAGGTGTGAAAAAGTGCCAAATGAGCCTCCTATTTATAGTTTTCGCTGCCTGGCACATCTGGGACGGCCGTCTGGGTTGGGACGACCGTCCCAAATGCATTTTTTACACATGTTGGGACCCCCTGGAAGGGTGGGATGGCCGTTTGGGTTGGGACGGCCGTCTCGACTGTCCTAGGTTAGTTGGGACGGCCGTCTCGACCTGTTTTGGCCAGCTTTTGTGTTTTGGGACCCCTGGGAAGCTTTCCTTTATGTATTTGGACGTCGTTTGATGCCGATAAATGCCCGTTAAAGCTTTATCTTCATATAGGAAGTCTTCTTGGCCTTTATTGAGATGTCAGGCGAGCTTTGTCTTTGTAGGAAGTCTCTTCAGCTTTTATTATCGAGAGGCCGAGCGAGCTTTGTCTTGTCATATGAGATTTTCTCAGCCTTTATTGAGAGACCGGGAAAAATTAAGGGTCTACAACGGCATCCCTCATAGGCTCATTACTGACAATGGGACCAATCTCAACAATAAAATGATGGAGGAATTATGCCAAGACTTTAAAATACAACACCACAATTCCTCTCCGTACCGACCAAAGATGAATGGTGCAGTAGAGGCAGCCAATAAGAATATCAAGAAGATCATCCAGAAAATGGTTGTGACCTACAAAGATTG